CAGTATAGATATTTTATTAATTGAATGTTTGAAATGTTACTTACGATACTTTCGTGAATGAGTGTATAGTACTGTATACCGATCCTAGAATGAACTCTACGATCTTCCGTTTCCACATTCAGAGGACAACCACCTCCTTCCCTTTAAACGGCAACAGGACCATTCTCGAACCATGGATTTTTCTGTATAAGGCATACGGTTTGGTGCTTAGCTTCTACTCACAGTATGGAGAAATACTGAACCAATCGCAAATATTTCTTTGCGAAGTATCTTTTATTATTTAAATAATTCGTGACAAAAGAAAATCAACCTTTATAATTGATTTGTTATAATTCACGAGACTGTACATTATTTGATAACATTTAGAATATGTTCTAAAGTTTTATTATAACTTAGTATTTTATTCGTACTCTCGTAGCTTTAATAAAATGATCAAGATTGTAAAAGTATTTTTCAAGTTGAAATTAATTATGAAAATATGACAAATGTATGTAATTATTTTTTGTGTTAAATTTAAATAAAATAAAAAAGACTTGTTACGTACCGTGCGGAGATGAGAAGTTGGATAGCGGTCTGATCGGTAACGATATAATCTCCTAGAATATATTGTAGAATTCTGCAGTATAATCAAAAATATTACATCGTTACCAATCAGACACGTTAGCCAGCTTTTTATCTCTGCATAGTACATTAATACGTTTTCTTTTTAACTAGCAGTGCGATCGGTTCAGTTTTGCTTTTTACTGTATCTGTGACTTTCGAACTCTGTTACTGTTAATCGCATCGTTGTCCTGCTTGACATCGTCCTTTGGAAACGATTCGACCTCCTTCCATTATTCCTGTCGTCTTTTCGTCATCATGGTTCTTCGAGTGCCAACACTGCCCATGACGAATCGCTCTCCTAGTGTCGGCGCGACGCCGACGTCGAATCAAATGTCGGTTCGTCATTCTGCTTCCCAGAAAAAACGATCGATACACGAGAAACGTAATAATTGTGTAATTCGACGACAACGGCGACGACGACGGGACGTCGAGAAGAAGTTCGACGCTTCGTTTTTCCCTTGCTTTTCGACGAACTCGACCACGAGAAAGAAAGAAGTGTACTTAAGTTTAGTAAGGGAAGACTGCTCGCGATTGAGTGCGTGTGCGATGTAAGATGTTTACGCTTAAGGAGTTGGCTCACTTTGAGACCAAAAAAAAATCGAATCTTGTTGTTCCACTTAACTCTTTGGGTTAAATGGGTTGGAAATAGTGACACCTTATGTTTAGCTTCTTGTGCATGGTGTGACATTGTAAGAACCAAAATGATGGTACAAACGTTATAGATTAAAAATGTACTAGTCTATATCGGTATAGTTTCTATACATCTCTAAAAATATATAAATAGTATAGAATTTAAGGATTAATTGGGTATGAATATTAAATCAAGAGTGCATCGATTGTTAATTCGTTTATTAGCAAACTTGGTTATTAGTTGTACAATTTGCATCTTCCACAATTTTGTTATTATTTCAACATATGAGTGTATTATTCATAACGTTTGAATTTAATTTTTATTCGTGCACGGATAAAATAAATTTCAAATTGTTTCTCTCTTCTTACAGACTCATTTTTGTAGACAATTGACGTTGAATAAAATTTTGTTTACGTGAAACAAACAGGGCACAGATGTAAATTAATTTCAGACGTTATAGATTGTATAGTACTCATACGTTTAAGTAATAATATGTATAATTGTTCAAGATGACAATTGTTAATATTGATACCTAAACAATTCTATACAATCGATATATATTTTTAGAAATGTAGAAAAACGATACACAGAGAACTTATATAATAATGATTCTGTAGAATCGTAGCCGATATAACCGTGAACCTTTTTAAGCTATAAATATTATAACTAGACTAAGTATAATCAAAAGTTACATGCACTTATGTAAAACGAAATATTAATGTTATTACATTAATTAGTAGAATATATTCTGCATAAATTATGTATATTTTTTCTATGTTTTCCATATTAGTGTACGTCATAAATGCATAAAATTCACAGTCTAGTTATAATATATTTTTAGTTCTTATAACTGTTTCAGTCAGAACCCTTATATAATAGTTTGTAACATTTATTTTTGGAATCTGGCACGATTACGATTTCCGTGGCGCTGCGATTTGACCGTGTTTATCTAATAAAATTTATCAGAAAAACAATGCCGCAAACCGTAGTTCTCTATCACGTT